CTCACTAACTATACAGGTTTAGTGACGGATTGGCGTGGAAGTGTACAGAAACCAACAAGAATTTCTCGAAATGTCTTCAGAATTTTCATATTGTCATTAGTAGTTGACCATGTGCATATTCTCCCATTCTGTGGTATTCAGAGTTGATTTGGCATGTCTGAGCCCCAGCAAGATGGGGGTACCAGGGGTGCGGCAGTAGAGGAGGGCTCTTTGGGGTATGGGGAGAGAGAGGCGAGCGGTGGGGCTACCTCTATGCAAGTGAATGAGAGTGAGGGAGGCTCGGCTGGGTCTTACTCTTTGGGGAACGATTATCAGAAAAGCACAGGAGGTGGGTCATGGGGTAATGATGATTGGTCGAAATGGAAGGGTAGCTCTGAGGGTAATAGTAGCAGTAAAGGGAGTGCTGGTGGCTGGAATGGTGGTAGAGATTCTTGGTGGGGTCAGAGCCGTGGGGGAGGGTGGGGCGAGCAGTCGTCTGGTCGGAGTAATAGAGGCTATGGGAGGAACAACGATTGGGGTAGTGGTGGAGGAGGAGGAGGAGGTTATCGGTGGTCAAACTATAAGAGACCTCGCGATTATGATTACAATCATCAGAACAAGCGTAGGAAGGGAAAAGGAGGGTGGGGGAGTGGGAAGGGATGGGGAGAGCGACAGCCTGACTATGATGAGAATAAACCATTGCCGCACTACTTTCCGGATAGGAACATGCTCAAAACTGATATCATAAAGCACCTTTACGAATTCCCTCGCGCTGAGAACCCTGATAGAGACTTCATGCGGAACCTACCACACTCCGCTGAACCTTGTGAGAAATGCAAGATGGAGAATAAGCAGTGCATCTGTGACACAGCGAATACACTGGGGGCGACTTCCCATCCTCGGAATGCAGGGTAGTAGCCTACGGATGACCTTTTCGAGGTGAATGGTCATTTTAGAATACCCGATACGGTGAAGGAGGCTAAGAGGAAGCTCAACGAGACCAAGTGCCAGCTGGACGGTCTCGACTTGGAGTCGTGGAAACCTCATACGAGGAGCACACTCGTAGTACTTGGGAGGGGAAGGGGTGAGATTTTTCGATGACGTTGTCGGCGCGCGACGGTTTTTATTGAATTTATGGAGCACGCAGAATCATCCTCGAGTCTTGCGAAGAGGCTCAGTTGGTCCACTAATAGGGGAAAAATTCGAGCAGCTCTGAAGAGTGGCCCTCGAGGGCTTTGGATTTCGCTTCCCCTGGTTCCACTGTACATTCTTTGGACCCTCTGGCATGTCGACGAGGGTGCCAGATGATTTAATTGTGCTTAGGTTACGTCGTTTGTGGTACGGGAAGTGAGGAATTATTCCCAGGCGGAGCTGTGTACCAACGCCTGGTGTAAGATGATGGAGATGCTGGAGGCCATGCCTCTCGTGCCCAAAGAGGTCTGTAAGAGTGAAGAGGAGGGAGGCGATGGTGGAGTAGATGGCAATATAAGTAGGGGGTAGTGCATGACGGTGAGCCCTTCTTACTGATCTATATAGGGACCATGCATCTTTGTGAGTGCCCTGGAGGATTCATATCTGCTACCAATCACCACCTAAGAACTAAGCATCCGAGGATGAAGAACTGGCAGTGGATGGCTATAACGTTGAATCCGTATTATACAGGGGCGGCGGCCTCTCTAGGGGGGACGGCTTCGTGTAGGTACTTTGAAGGGAACAGTCTGACAGCAATGATTGACGATGACGCCTTTTATCGAGAGACTTATCTCAAGTGGAGCACTGGGGTCGATGATAGCGGCAACATTATGGTAAGGACTGGTACGCAGCCCGGCTCTACTACTCTCTTTGTAGGCGTATAGGAATGTTCGAGATTTGGTTGAGAGGGCACAGAGGAAACAGCAAGTGTGCGATATAGTCACGGCAGATGGCTCTGTGGATTCACAGTGGGGAGGCTGGACGGGAGATGTCGACTATTCACCGCTGTGCTCCGGGCAGGTTCGATGCAAACAACCAGGAACGGATCACGACTCGACTGCATTTCTCGGAGTTGGTGGCAGCACTCGGCCTTTTACGTACTGGAGGATCGCTGGTCAGTGAAGCCCCCTATAGAGAGAAGGTCTGCTTTGAATCGTCGTTGTAGGTGTTGAAAATGTTCACACTATTTGAGCCCTCCTCTAAGGCTATCATCTGGCTGGTCCGAGCTATGTTTGATCGATGTATAGTATGCAAGCCCGAGATGAGTAAACCTGGGAATTCGGAGGTAGCAAGGAAAGTACTGCTGTTGGAATTGCGAGCGCCTTCTCCTGTTTAGGTTTATGTAGTCGGCCTTGGTTTTGGTTTTATCCGTTCGGCAGTGCTGAACCGTCTGATGGCGCTGATGGAGGATGACGCCTTGTGGGCTGGCTTTGAGGCGGGTGATGACGAGCTGCTCGAGAGGGCTATTGTGCCGGGTGAGAAGGACGTCTTTTAGATAGCTATCGCATCCTGGAATTTAATAGTAGCAGGGACTTATCTCGCATTGAGAGATAGCGATCCCCAAAGTTTGATAACAATGAGGAAAATGTTCCTAATGTGATGACATTCACGTGGGAGACTGTGTTCCTAGTCATGTTGAAAAGTAGTTCCTCCGGAGAGCGTTATAGGTCCCTGGATTTTTCCTGCTTAGTAGTAGTAGGAGTCGGATGATGATGGTTGTTGTTGTTGATGTTGCTGGTTTTGGTAGATGCTTGGATGTCCGAGGATTTCACGAAGGCTTTTGCGAAGTGCTCAGCTTACTTCTCGACTCAGCAGACAGACTACATTGAGCGCAATCTACGTCTTTTCAAAGAATTCCCCTTCGAGGAAAAGCAGCTGATCAATGCCAGGAAAAGGAGGTGATTCGTGATGGGGGGATGGCTGGTGGGAAGGTCTCTCCTGCTCAGTTATCCGACAGCTTTTATTGAGAGGTTGGACTTACGTCGTCTTAAGGAGGAGGATAAGATTGTCCCTGATCCGGCGATTCCTTTAAATCAAGGGGGCAATATCAACAGTACCAGGTGAGACTGAGGGGAGGGAGGGAAGGAAGGAAGAAGTTGAGATTGGTGCGGTAGGTCCTTGCCGACAGCTGGTAAAGCTAACAAGAGCGGCACTCAGTCTTCTAGGGCCGAGTTTAGGAGGCTCTATGAGCAGACTCAGGGTCGGAGAGCAGACCTAGCTAAGGAGAAGCCACATGCTGGGTTCGTCCCGACTGAAGGCGGTTCGACGGTGATGAAGGGGGCTCGAGCAGAGGAGGATGGTAGGAAGAAGGAATAGTGCTTGGGTGAGGAAACTGTTATGTCAGAGGAGAAGGTGCCGGCTATTGGCAGCAACTTGAGCAAGGCACTGTTGGAGAAAGCGGGGTTGACAGGAGAGTGAGTGGGAGGATGAGAATTCGACTAGAGTTGGAGGAATATATGTTCGCTTTCTTGAGATTAGAGTGTACAGAAACCAAAAAGAATTTCAGGATTTACTCATTGTCATCACCACATGTATTTGACTACATGTGCATAACCCTTCACGTTGTTCAGGGGTCTCAAGCATGGCAACCCGATAGTTGAAGTGGAGAACCGGCGGCCCACGGATCGCCGAGGTCTTGGGCACGGCTCTGTAGGGGAGTCTTCTGGCGGGCCGATGGTGATGCATGCCAAGCCGGCAATGAAAGTGAGAGGGCGTTATCGAGTGTGGAGGGGTGGCATGTGGCTGGTGCAGATGAGGAGGGAGCTGGAGAATACTCTGCTGGGGAAAATCAGTAGCGGTGACTATTTGAAAGAGTCATGGTACGTAGAGGGTGGTGGTATGTGAGAGGGCAAGGCTTGGTCTGTCAGGTTCACTGAGTGTGGGGTGCCGTTGGAGCCCTATGAAGTGAAGTTATCCAAGTTCGCTGACTCGGATGCTCTTGATAAAGTCGTCTATTATCGCACTGAAGCGGCATGGGAGCAGCAGAGTGGCAGAGTGGAAGTGCCGAAACCAGCAGAAGACGAGAGTGCGCTCGAGGAGATAAGGAAAGTGGCGGGCTTTGTGGAGGTCCCTCTTGGGGAGTAAGCTGTCGAGCGAGTGGCTATAGTGTATGTGTCATCATCAGAGGGTTCTTGAGATTAACCCAGCGAGTCCT